TAGTAATGTGAGCAATATCACCAACAAATAGTTCATCTCCTCTACCAGAACAGTGAGCCATCACTGACAGAAACAAAAATAATAATGAAGATTTGCAGAATTTCTACTAAATCTCCTTATGACCATGGTATCTTGGGTCACTCCAGTTTGGGCATGCAAATGGCGATTTGATTAAACAAGGACTGGAAAAATTCTCCTTAAGGCTGGGCTTCATTATATCAGGGTCCAGCCATAAATTTCTCTAGCATCCTTCGGTGAGACAAGATATTATATGTTCTTATTCAGGGTTGCCACTCATCAGAAAGGTAAAAATTGCCTTACTTTCCCCTGACTTTTCACTGACCTTTTACATGTATTAATGAGAAACAATCCATGTTTACATTCACTTTAGCTTTTTTGCAAGCCATCGATAGTTTTCTCTTCATTTTCAACCTCTTTCCGCAAAGAAGGAATTTGGAAGAAAGCATTCACAATGAAAACCACTGACTGGCCACAACTACTACATGTGTCAGACGTAGAGTGTCAAATTGATCGCTTTGTTTGCTTTGCAGAATACGTTTTGTCTTTTCCGAAAGAAAATGCATTTCAAAATCTTGAATCAACTTATGAACTATAAACCGGAAAACAGAAATCCCTGTCTTTTCACTGACTTTGACAATATCAAAGATTTTCCCTGACTTTTTAAAAAATTTCCTGACTTTTCCCTGGTGGTGGCAACCCTGTTTTTTAAATCGTTTTATGACAGTGAGGGTTTTGCTGATCAGTGAATGAGTTGACCAAGACTGCATATAACCTGATAATAAAATTAATCTTGATTTTCTCATGGCTGGGCTAAACTTTTCTGGTATGTAAAGAGCAACTTTTGAAGGTACCATTAAAAATCTAATATTTGGAAACTGCCTTTGAAATATTCTGTCATACACTGACAGGTTTAGAAAAAGTTTATTCTAGAATACTGACCTGACACTAAATTTCCCATTGTCCCACTTGTTACAAAGAGGGCTGCTTCTTTTCCAGTTNACTTTCCCCTGACTTTTCACTGACCTTTTACATGTATTAATGAGAAACAATCCATGTTTACATTCACTTTAGCTTTTTTGCAAGCCATCGATAGTTTTCTCTTCATTTTCAACCTCTTTCCGCAAAGAAGGAATTTGGAAGAAAGCATTCACAATGAAAACCACTGACTGGCCACAACTACTACATGTGTCAGACGTAGAGTGTCAAATTGATCGCTTTGTTTGCTTTGCAGAATACGTTTTGTCTTTTCCGAAAGAAAATGCATTTCAAAATCTTGAATCAACTTATGAACTATAAACCGGAAAACAGAAATCCCTGTCTTTTCACTGACTTTGACAATATCAAAGATTTTCCCTGACTTTTTAAAAAATTTCCTGACTTTTCCCTGGTGGTGGCAACCCTGTTTTTTAAATCGTTTTATGACAGTGAGGGTTTTGCTGATCAGTGAATGAGTTGACCAAGACTGCATATAACCTGATAATAAAATTAATCTTGATTTTCTCATGGCTGGGCTAAACTTTTCTGGTATGTAAAGAGCAACTTTTGAAGGTACCATTAAAAATCTAATATTTGGAAACTGCCTTTGAAATATTCTGTCATACACTGACAGGTTTAGAAAAAGTTTATTCTAGAATACTGACCTGACACTAAATTTCCCATTGTCCCACTTGTTACAAAGAGGGCTGCTTCTTTTCCAGTTAACTCTGCTGCTTTAGCTTGCAAAGCTATAATGAGTATAAAAGTATAAGCACAGAATTTTATTATGTGCACAATTAACAGAATCAACAGGGAACTGATTGCTAAATCTGAAAAAACATTTCTCAATGCAATAAAAAGTTATGGGACAGCTGGATCAACTAACTGACAATTAATTTGAATAAACTACTAGATTTAGCCTAAATTGTTCAACGGCAAGTAATCAATTTAGTGTTAAAATATAATCTGTTTGCCAACAACATACGATTAGTTTGTGATTTACAAGTACGCAAATTGATGTGACTTAAATAATCAGCATGTCACAAGCATGGGACAAAGAAAAAATCTGAGTCCCTGACAGGATTCGAACCTATGACCTCCCAAACACCGGATGGGCACTCTATCCACTTGAGCTACAGAGAACTCATGGAGAGTGAGGCCATATACTAGGTTCATATTTGACATGTGTCCTGCATACTGCTAGGATCAGCAATGTCGATGTCGCACCGTGGGGTGAAAGAAATGAAAGAAGGTAAATTTTAAGCGCGCTGAAACAAATGTGAAAATGAAATAATCAGCATGTCATGAGCACGGGACAAAGAAAAAATAATAAATTCACATTAATGAGATTAATATTCACTATAAAAGTCAGTGTAGGGACTTAAGCCCCATTTACAGGATAGGTGATGGTAGGCTGGTAACCCTCCTAAAAGGGCGAATAGTGGTCAACATTTTTGGGCAACAGATTGGGTGTAAGTAGTTAACTTCAAGTGGAATTATTCAATGAAAACATCAGTGGAACAACAGTATCAAAAGTAAAGGAATTGATTCTACTGCAACAAATTTTTCATGGTCCTTCATTAGTTTGCAAAAGTGCAGCTGTAAAATTGTCAATTGTTTTACACAGATTCGTGGAAATGTGTAAAACAATAATATTGATAATTTTACAAACTCTGCCTGCTCCGAGCAAGAAAGTGTTGAAGAAGATATAGTGGATGTCCTTACTGATGACAAATAACAACTCATCCTCATCAGCTGTCAAGGTGTTGTTCTGTGCATTGATATCTTGATTTATTGAAAAAAAAGTATTTAAGACTTAATCTAAGCTTTCTACTAAAAAAAACTAATTCCTCGATCATCTTGTGTTTCCTGTCACGATGAGCTATCTAATTGCACTGTCGCTTGTAACCTATCAGAACGTGCGAAGTGCGGGGCTCAGAAGGCTCTATTGTTTTTCGACTAATCGGACAAAAGTCAAGATTCTCAACTATGGGCAGATGAGGCAAGTAAATCAAAATGTATCAACAAGGTCTGGAAGGGGGGATGCTTATCCTTCATTCCTGCTCTTTTTTTAGGAAAATCTCTTATCCTGCACTTTTTTCATTGCTTTCCTAAATCCTGCTTTTTGTTTCCAAAACATTAAAGTCAAAAAAATACTAATTGCTGCAAAAGCTGATAAATGTGAGATGCAGATTGGCCCCTTTCATTGCTTATTTTGAACTTATACATTGAACTTATTTTAAGAGATTGCAAAAACAAAACAGCCTTTCATACTGAAGTATGCTGAAGCAGGGTGGGGAAAGTGGAATAAAATGAGAAGGAGACACCACACCCAGCAGGGGGGTACTTTAGGACTTTTTGGGTGGGGAGGTGCCGCTTGGACCCTGGAACCCTTAGCCTATACCAGAGCTAATTCAAGTGAATTTTGCTACCCTATACTAGACTAAACTCCCCAAATCCCCCCTCCCCCCATCCTAGAGTAGCTGTTTTCCAGAAACAACTGAGGTCACTAGCACAGTCCAGCCAAAACAAAACCGATTTGATTTTTTATATTCTCGAGCGGCAATTCCCGGTTTCCCTAGTCTAGCCTAAAATCTTCAGCCAATGTTATATACTCTATCCCAGGGTAAACTGCTTGAAAACCATACCCTTCACAAATCACAGCGGTACATACCTATATAGCCCATATATGGCAGTACCTCCCCCCCACCCGCGGGACACCACACTGAACCCTTGCCTGTCTGTTTTCGAATTCTCGACAGACATGCAAAAGGAAATCCCGCATCCCGTGCCCAAATTTTGATGAATCCCGCTTCCCGGGTAGCAGTCAGATCCTGTTGCCCGTCAAGACATTTTGTGTTTTCCCGAATCCCGCACCGTATTTTAGTCAAATCTCGGATCCTGAAAATACCTTCCAGACCCTATATCAAGCGTCTCTTTCCCTCTCGCCTTCAGAACAAAAAGGGAAGAAAAGGGCCGCCTGATCGCAGGTTATGTATGCTAATGAGTTTAAAACGAAGGAACGTAAAATTTAAACCAAGGATAAAACTGAGCCACAACATGTTAATACCGCAAATAGGCTAGTAAAACAAATTCTAACCATTGACGGTTGGATCGTCTCCATAAACATCGTCACCAACTTCAGCAGCCGCCATTGCAGCTCTCATTTCTTCATTGGGCACAGTAACAGTGTCGCTTCTCAAATCGATCACACGACCGTCCATTTTCTTATCATCGAAAACTCCTCCACTCGTGTACAAGCTGGAAAAGTATCTTCGCCTCGAAACTGCAGATACTTTAGGGAATAATTGTAAAGCAAGTTTTTTCCCGCTCAAAAGGGACAACATGGTGGGCCAGCTGTCCTTAGAATCTGTCACGCAACCACAGGCCAACCAGGCATCGTGATGTCACACGCGACAAGTGATCCCATCCATCTACTGTTCCAGGCGTTCAGATAGTAGAGTGCGGGAGAAAAATTCAAGAAGAAAAAAAAAAAAGAATACGCGGAATTTTGCACCTTTTAATCCCAAATGTTGAGCCAATAGCGTACGTTTTTAGTGTCATGTTCACCCCCGGCTTTTTATAATCGCGGGTGTCAGTTTCAGCAACAAACCGTCCGTTCCATTTGATTTTTAACCGAGAAGCCCCTGAAAACGAAGCTGGGCGAGATCAGCTCTCCAGCTCTGCGTTAAGCTCTGCGTCTTTGCTCGGCGTCAGAGTACGAGCAGTCTCTCTTTTTTCCAGGCCGTCGAGCGAAACGCGCGAGACACGCAAATAATCACGCGCGCGACTAAAAACGCCGCCCTCGTTTAAAGTCTTTGCGAGAAACTGGGGGGGGGGGGATTTTT